CTAAATATTTTTGTCGTCGAGGTTGTCGCCGGTCGTCGTCGCGTCAGTGTGCAATGGCTCATGGGAAACAATAGTTTCTAATTTTCTGAGAAGTCGTTTGTCGTTACGGTCGGTCGTTGCCGCTGCAGTGTGGCTTGGCCTTTATAGTGACTTACTGGTAATTTTTCATGATGTTTTTTTTTCGTTCTCATTGTTGTTGTCGCAGTATCACATAATAGGAATCGTGATAATGGAATGGATGTTTTTAGCTCATCTGACATAGTCAGATGCAGTTTGTAGAATCGCATGATTGTCCGTGCGTGCGTGCGTGCGTGCGTCCGTGCGTCCGTCCGTCAACAGTTCGGCACAAATCTTAACCGCTCGACGTACGGTCACGATATTCGGGACGTAGGGGGGTAATCCGTAAACGAGTTGGGATGTCGAAGCTGGTGGTCAAAGGTCAATGGTCAAGAGGTGTATAAGAAGGGGGAACATTCCCTCCTTAACTTAAGGTATAGGGAGGAAATGCAGAATTGCGGCACAAATCTAAACGGCTCGACCTATGCTCTAAATATTCGGTGTATAGTGTGATGGGCAGGAAACCCATCACCAGTGCGAAATCAGGTCACAGGTCAAAGGGCAGTGGGGGAAAGGTCAGATATCAGACATTTTCTGAGGACATGGCCTAACAGACAGAGTGAAAACTTTTTTGTTTCAGCGCTGACCTACCATTTTTATCACTTTATTGAAAGGACCATGAAATGTGCTTTCCACTGACGTGCGAAGAGTAAGTGTCTGATAACCTTTTGACCCTCAAGAAGAGGGTTAAACATGGATTCCTGAACTGCCTCAATTATGTCCCAGTGTTCTCATATTCATGGCACATCCATAATCTAGAAAGCCAATATGTCTGGATAGCCTAACAGGTACAGCACAGGATTACGGCTCAATTCACAGGATTATGGCTTGGATCGAATCCCATCAGATTTTTTATTATATACCTGTTTTCTGTATTTTTCTATCTTTATCCATTTAACTATTTTTTTCCAATTAAGGCAAATATTTACATGATTTATTTACAACAATTTAATAACAACAAATAATTTTTACAATTAAATTTTTTTTAAATACGGTTAGGGTTAGGGTCACAATGCACCACAAAACAGGAGTTTCAGGCACGCGATTTGTATCAACCAATGGGATTTGGGAGGTATGCAGAATGCAGAAGGTTGCTGAAATGATGTGTACGCAACTGCGTATCTGCATATCTGCGGCTAACAAATGTGTCACTACGCACGACTGAAATTTTACGTTCATAACCGTAGCAACACACCTCAGATGAGCCCAGTCGCTCTGCGGCTCTTGTTTAATTGGTCATTAGGCAGTTGGAATCACCGCTTGAGTCCATTGGATGTCATTCACAAAAGCTACACAGTACTGCGCTTCAACTTCTCATTCTGTGCTTGATGTTGTTTCTCATTCTATCGCAGAATGACGATTTTACCCCCACCGGAAAGACTGAAGGAATTCTTGGAGCGTCTCAAAGTTTTTCACATTGGTTTCCTGAAACGTTATGAATGAACTTGCCTTATGGGTGGCTGCTGCAGTAAGCAGCCTTATGGGTGAACAATTGTGATTGTTGAGATTTTAGAAGGAGCTGTTGTGAAATTCGAATATTGTCATTTTAAGGCTGCATTCTTAGCAAAACCGAATTCGATGTAACTTTCAATCTATATGAGCATTGATTGTGTACGGAACTGGTTTTGTATGCTTGTTCGTTATATTCAGCTTCGTTATAGTCAGCTACACTTATAACATTGTTAGCAGACACCTTTCTATAATTGACTCGTGTTAATATAGGACAATATACAAGCTATAGTCGTTTCCCTTTAGTAGCAGTTATGCAAGTTTTACCACGTCTATAGAATGTACACATGCTGATAGAGGTCGTTTTGATCTGAGTAACTTTTACCTACTAATTACACTGTTTTCTGCATAAACCTATCTCAGTTTGACCTACAAGCACTTACCTTACGGAGGCTATTAACATTAAACGTAAAAACACACTAGGTTTGAGACGTACGTGCTCGCGTCTCATTGTGACTATCTCAACGGCACAACGCATCTCTTCAAGTTTTTGATGTCTTTTGCCCTTGTTTAGTTGAAACTTTTTTAAAAACAAATCATGGTTGCAACAAGTAGCTACAGCCACATCTGCAACATTGCTATGTTATGAATGCAGGTTGCATAGAATATGGTGTGGGGAACGCTTAGCAGTATGTAAGTGCTGCCTTAACAGTCATATGCATATGCCATATATAGACCACACTTCGTAGCTCAGGTCAACTACAGTGCCAGGGTGGGTATTGGCCTTTGTGCAATGAAAGTGTAGCTTGATTCGATAGGACCACGATACTTATTTGCCTCTCTCGGTATCATTTGTGAGGCTGTGTGATACAAAAGATATACAGCTAATCTGTTACTGCTTGATAAATGTAATTGTTGTAATCGTAAAAATTCGATTTAGAGTCAAACCTGTGTTAGTGGACACCTGAGGGACACTTTTGGAATTTTTACGTGAGTGGCAGCTATAAAGTGAAACCGTCTCTATAGAACGGACACCTGTCTATAAAGGACACTTCTTGGTTGATGCTCATGCACAGGTTTGACTGTGTTTTGTAGGCAATTGTAATGACCGGTGGATAGATCTGTTAGTGTGAAGCTGTAGCATAGTATTACAGCTGTGATCCCCCCCGCGGTTTGTTGGCGTGTGAGAGTTATGCGTGTACATGTGCAGTCACACGTACAGAATGTGCAGATACATTTGTGGTTACTGGTCAGCGTCTCGTACAGGCAATATCTAGATACGGGCAAACGAACTCGTTACTTGTACCGTCGCTTCAGCGTTGCAGTTCAATTTGCTGCCTTCTAGACTGCTGACCTTTGGCCTCTGATCTCTGGCGCCCGACCAGCGACTGTTGCTCAATATTTAGCAACAGGTTCTGGCTTCGTATTGCCAGACCTCAGAACTGCGTAGGACTAATTATTATTCTAGATATTAAAGGGACAGTAGCCTCTAGGATTTTACTGCATACAACTGTACTTACTGTATAACAAATCGTCTATACCCACATGTATTTGTCACCAGATACTTAATTAATTATTTACACATCAACGCTACGAAATTTGAACGGCGCCATGACACCTGCGACCGTGCTGCCACCCTGAAAAAGTTGCGTATTTGCATTTTTATTTTGCAGGTAAATGACCGAGGGCTAATCACAAAAGTGCAATTATATTTATACCTAAATGCTATTTAACCGAACGATATTCATTTTAGGGCAAATTTATCCATATTATAACTGAAACTATATGTCGTTTATAAGATATTACAATCCTTTTGCTTTTAAATGAATAAGTAAGAAATACCCTCGGTCTGTAGCCCTTGGCTGGAAAGTGGTTTTGCGCAACTTCTCAGATCGTGCGCTTTGAGTGGCGCCACCGTCGTTGTAATCAAACTGTAGTCGTTGGTTTTAAAACATTTTTTAAAAATATTTCTAATGATGATTGAACCATGAAACTTTTATGTAGCGCAATTATAACCTAAATTAGCTGAAAATAACCCTAGAACCTAGAGGCTACTGTTCCTTTAATTATTATCATTAGGAGCAAGATGACGAGCGATTCGTATAAGGGACAGATTAAAGGATTATATGTAAGGATTACAGATGTAAGGGTTACATGGGATATTAGTTAATTGTATCCCTTGTTATATTACTCCCGATGTTTTGCACCTCACGACGTGTGCGTTGTTACCGACTGTGTTAAATCTAGATGTAATTAGATTTATGTGGCAAAATAAAAAATCTGAACATTATATCGGTGATGTTACGATTACGTTTCAGTCTATCATTCTGTATCGAGCCATTAGAGGCGCACTGTGACTGCATGTCAAGTTTCTCCGCAGGTCAGGTCCGACGTGCCTTCAAAGCTGAATCTACTTTGCGACATCTCATGAATCCTCCGGTATGCATTAGTTGCCTAATCGATACGCATTGATTTCCATCTGTATTTAAGTTTGACAATTCTAACACAGCCATGGTGTTTTCACAGTATTGGAGACTATCGACTCTACCGCGTATTTTGACACGCGTAGCTCAATCAAATTAGCGATCGGAGTTGAATTGTGTGCGCGCGTGCGTGTGCGTGTGCGTGTGCGTGTGCGTGTGCGCGCGTGTGTGCGTGTGCGTGTGCGTGTGCGTTTTTGTGTATATGTGTGTGCGCGCGCTTGTACGTGTGTGCGTGCATGCATGTGTGTTCATGGCATTGTATATTTTGTATATTGTATAGATATGTTTATGACGTGGTGTATATTCACGTGTTTACTATTGCTGTAAAAACCTTGAAGGAACGCATCCAATAAAGTTGCTACCGTTCAAATTTATTATACAAATAATTGCATGGTAACAGTAGACGAAGAGACAATTATATTAAAAGTACTATTGTGTAGTGAGCTGAATCATTATTATTCTAAAATCTTTATAAATGCAATAGAAATAAACGAAACGCCATATAAACAAATCGTGTGATACCACAGTAATATTAGGGAATTATTTCACTCCCTTTACGCGTGATACAAAAAAGTACATTCATACCCGTTTTCTCGTGGAAGCTAAAATATATATACCATCTGTATTCTCATTCGCGTGATCGTTTATCTCGTTATTCTCATGTAAAGTGAATTTCTACAGTAAACTGTGGTCGTAATTTTATCGACACTCACGACATTCACACAATCACTATCACTACCCTAATAGCTGGATCTGCCGCTCCGACTGTGGGGCCTATATCTGTAATTCGAAGAAGGCGTGCTATATCTATTATAGTAATTCCTGCTGCGGTAGCCGTTACCGTAGCGCGATCTACCGGAGGAGCCATGTCGATAACTATGGTAAGGTCTTTTGCCGTGTTTGGGGCTTCTGCTGCCGTAGTTGCGTCTGTAATTGTAGTAGCTGGGGCTTCTGCTGCCGTAATTGCGTCTGTAGTTGTAGTAGCTGGGGCTTCTGCTGTAGCCACTCACGTTCCTGTACCGACCCGTGCTATATACGGGGTATACTCGCCTGCTGTTGTAACCCTTGCCGCCACGACTGCGAGCAACCACGACGACGTACCTTCCCCTTCCACTTCCTCTTCCTCTTCCTCTCCCTCTCCCTTTACCATGGGCACCATCATGTGGATCTATGACTCCATGGTCATCTTTGTGTGGATCTATGACTCCGTGATCATCGGTGTGTGGATCAATGACTCCGTGGTCATCAACCCGTTCATCAAATCTTCCTCCTACAGGAAGTCTATCCCTGTCATCGTCAAATCTTCCTCCTACAGGAAGTCTATCCCTGTCATTGTCAAATCTTCCTCCTACAGGAAGTCTATCCCTGTTATCGTCAAATCTTCCTCCTACAGGAAGTCTATCCCTGTCATCGTCAAATCTTCCCCCTACAGGAAGTCTATCCCTGTCATCATCAAATCCTGTCCCTACAGGAAGTCTATCCCTGCCATCGTCAAATCCTCCCCCTACAGGAAGTCTATCCCTGCCATCGTCAAATCTACCCTGATTTCCTGGATTAAAGCCACCGACAGCTGGTGGACTTTGACCGAACTCTCTTCCCACAAATGGACTACTGTTGTCAATACCCACGATGACTCCGCCCCCTCGCCCTTCAAATCCTCCTCCCTGCCCTTGCTGATCGACGCGACCAACAAATCTACCTGCTAGTGGTCCATCCCTCCGGTCATCGAAGCCACCGATGGGTGGTCGAATATCGTCGACTGACCCATCGACCCGCCTACCGAATCTCCCGTCATCAAAATCTTCCGGGTTTCTTGGGTCAAACCCGCCGACGGCTGGCGGACCTTTACCGAAGTCTCTTCCTACGAACGCACTACTGCTGTCAATGCCCCGGATGACTCCGCCGCCTCCTCGGTCGTCAAATCTTCCCGCTTGCAGCTTCCCGTCGCCGTGGTCGTCAAACCCTGCTCCCGGCGCATGCGTGTCTACTGGTAAATCGTGCACGTCGCCGCCTCGATCGACGACGTGTGGGCCGACGTCATCTACTGATGCGTGAATGACGATAGGTTTGCCCTGCGCAGATGGGTATCTGGATGCGTAGGCACCCCTGCCGTAGTCGACTTTGCTTCCACTCTGCGCATGTGCCGCGGTCAGCAACTGCGGGGGTAGAATTTAAGACAAGATTAGTTTTACGACGCGAACATCAGCAGCGTGCGGGCGGTTACAACGAACGGGTTCAGCTTAGGTTTTTTTCAACAGGTTAAGGCAGTTCGTTACGTTTCAGGGACTTACGTTTCAGGCACTTACTCAGGCACTTACTCAGACCTTACGTTTCAGGCACTAAGTGGAAGTGGATGAAATAACCACATACACTTTAAAAACGGTTAATTTTTTCAAAGTAAATGAGAGTGATGAAATATAAAGGTTGAGCCGTTGTAAAATTACAATAACTAACTTATAACACATGCGCACGAAAGCGTTACCCGTATGTACAACATAACATGACCCGTATATAACGTATCTCAACGTAATGTAACGTAACGCAACGTAACGTAACTTGAATTAACATAATGTTAGTTAGCGTTACGTAACGCAACGTAACGTAAGTTAACATATTCTAAAGCAACGCACTCGTAACGTAACGCTACGCAACGTAATGTAACGTGGCGTAACGTACTATAGTCCACGGAACGTAACGAAAGTTAACGTAACATAATGCATGTAACACAACGTCACGCAAAGTAATGTAACACAACGTGGCGTAGCGTACTATAGTCCACGTAACGTAACGAAAGTTAACGTAACATAACGCATGTAACGCAACGTCACGTAAAGTAATGTAACAACAGCGTGGCGTAACGTAACCTAAATTAACGTAACGCAACGTTAATAATGTATAGCATATCATAACGTAATATAACGTAATTTAACGTAATGTAACATAATTTAACGTAACGTAACGTAGTTATAACAGTAGCGACAAAGCTGTCATAACGTAATTTACGGTAACTTAACATACACGTAACGTAGTTCGTGTATGTTTAAAAGCACTTACAGCGACAAAGCAGATCCACCCAGCGATCTGCATTCTGATAGTACGTATACAGGCAGTCTTGCAACAACAAAAGCGCTGCAACATCAAACACACACTATATAGAAATCACGCGTGAAGTGATAGCGTGTAATAGTAGAACAATCTAAAGCCTGTTTGGGCAATGTCACTCATGCAGAAACTAAATCAAACAAAATACTGAAATTGAGAAATAATGTAAAAGTTGTGTATAATGAAATTCATGCGAAACCTACAAATAATGCAGCTAATATTGAAAATAATGACTAAAAAAGAATTTTTGATGACCGAATTTACCAAAGAACACATTGGATGATAATCGAAATTTTTACGGTTAACCGAAAAAAAAATCCTTTGCAAAAACTACGCGTTACTCTAAATTTTCAAATTAAGAAGCACACTGACAAAGGATCATGATATACGTTTATAATATATATTATACTCATATTATATATATATCTTATATATATATATATATATATCATGTCCTGTGATACTGATTGGGATCCTTCTATCTGTTGTTTGTGTCTTTGACTGCAGGTTTCACCGATTGTCTAACTTTACTTACCAGACTATGCTCTAAGAACTCTGCGCTTCCTTTCGCGTCGCCGTTTTCCGCCTCTCACCGCTATGACTGCCGGGTTTACGCTTGTTACGCGCTTTCCGCTTCTTTATAATAACGCAGTCCAGCGGAGAGAAATAGCTGGATGCGTTGGCGTACAAATAGCCAAGTCACGATTCACCTGTACGGGCCGAGATGTCCGCAACTGATGTTCCTAATGTAGCCTTGATGATGGTTACTCAAGCGCGCATTTTCCATGGCCTTCGGGTCACAGGCGTGTTGTGTTGGAGCATAACTCGCCGTGGGCTCAACTGTCAAGGCCGTCTCGAAGATTGTCTCTTTGTTGACAGCGCAGACTGGGTTTGTTAAGGGTCCTGAGAGACGCACTGCCCTACTTTACAAATCGTGTGTAATTTCACGAGTGGCCGAATGCAAATACAATCGGGTGCTTATGTCGGGAGCAATGTCGTTCCGATCATGGTAAATGTAATCACTGAGCTCGCAAGCAAAGCCAAGGTTCGGGTCCAGCGTGAATTAAGCCTGACTCATGGGTACCATCGCGTACTCAGAACACAAACAGAGCTGCTATTTGTAGAAAATGAAAAGTGATGTGTGTGTTGTGAGAAGTGGCTACGAAAAGCCGGACTAGCAGTAGCAACCCCGCCATTTTGACACAATATATACATGACGTATGCAATCAGCACACTTAAATACATTGTAAAAAATACATCTCGTCACAATAGACATCAATACAATCGATGCAATACAATACAATTAATACAATATAATACAATCGATACAATATAATACAATCGATACACTCGGTTCAATCTAAAACACAATACAATCTCGTCTTGTTAGGCCTACAATGTGCATGAAATCGAAACCTCATTCTTTGAATTTGCTTGCGATTAACCGACTTGGTGTAGCTGATGCATTCCGTGTAACAAGTCGTGATGTGTCCCCGTCACAAGATAACATTTTCTAACATTTATTGTGGATCTCAGGGAAGACATACTCCTTACATTTGTTGTAGATATTACCTTGCCCTATAAGTTCCTTGCTACTTAAATTTCTCGCAGCTTTTAAAGATGGCATGCTACTTAAACCGTGTTATAGATGTTATAGCTGCCATGCTACTAACATGTTTTTTTTTTAGATTTTATCGACAATGGCGCGCGGAATATCCCGCTAGCATCTAGACGTGTTGGGATAACATCGGTGAGGAACAATTTCGTGAAGACAATGATTACTTTGATAGAGCCGACTCGCACCTATTCTCACAAACACACGCGCGATGATCGACGTGATTAGTTACTGCGTGTCGTGACGAATGGAGTAAGTGTCACTGTTCGCGCTCGGTGACCTTGAGCTTGCGAGTGCGCGTACCAGCAGGTGCTGCGCGAGAGAGAGCACGAGTGTTCATGATGACGACGTACGCAATCCGGATACGAATCCAGCAGAGGTCGTCTCTCACTCTCGCTTCACGAGTTATTTGTATTCAGGATTACGATGAAGTGAGCAGATTTACCTCATCGCGGCGCTCTCTGCTGCTACCGACGTACGTAGCCGTGGTTTGATCATGGGACCTGGGCGGTTATAGTGTAGCGCGATAAATTGGAGTGTGGCCAAATTCGACGCCGTAGTGACGGCTGACTCTTGAAATCGCGATCGAAGTTATCGGTCGTTAGTTAACACACGAATTCGTAAACCAAATTAAGCCTGTTAGCACGTAAACTATTAAATCGCGCTATTTCTAGATTTATAACACCTCTCAGCCCTGCAGCGGCTTGCTGTCACCTATGTCGCATTCAACGGCTAGCATGCTTTCTTATGTTTGTCAGGCTATAGGCCTATACGTCATCGTCGTCCATCTCTCTACCCTGAACTTGTTTGTCCTGTCCCTGCCTGCGTATATTCACGCGTCCTAGCTCCCAGCCATTCGCGCAAGCCGTGTTTCTAGATGGCAGAATATTATTTATTCCAAAGATTAATCACAAAACTAAACAAACGATATACTAGTTAAACTGCGATTAATGATTTTCATATTCGCCGACAGACTGGTTCTCCCACATGCATCTTAAATGCATGCAGTTATCAAGTCATTCGCTCATGTTGTGACAGACCATGCACGCTGTCGTTTTCGAAATAATACGTCACTGTGAATTCCGAAGGAATAAAAAAAAGACGATGACAGTCTTTAATAACGTAATTAAAGTATTTCGTAGGATATAGTATAATAATAACGGTATTATAATCTTCCTCCTCGTAACATGTAATATGTAATAAATAAGGGGCGTAGCTAGAGGGGGGGGGGCAAGGGCAGTTAACCCCCGCAAAGAAATGTACATATATTACATGGTCAATGGCGGTCACGTCCACAAATCACACCCATAGAACTAGAATAGAAGTAGAATAGAGTAGAATAGAACTTTTATTCTAGTTCTATGATCACACCACGGACGTGGCTTTGTCTTTCCCCGGGCAAAAAGGGGTAGCCTCGCTCTTCTAGATGTCTAACCTAAATGTACTTGGTATGCACTATACATTTGTATTGCCTTGGTCATAAACATGCGCAGTGAGAATTTATTCATAACTAGTACTGTATTGTTGAGGCTACCATGGCATAGCAGAGTGGAAATAGTAACTATTTCACTTGGCTATAGACCATTCTTAATTAGTATTCATGACCTGGGGTCACGCACGAAAACGAGGCTAAGCTAGGCAAT